GGCGGTAGGGAGGTAGGCAGTGCCAGGAGAAGGCTGGCACTGATGGAGATGTCTAATTGCAGCTACTTCGTGGCACTCCCGGTACTGGTGTGGCAACTGGGACGACGTGGTGTGTGCTGGAAAATTCGCTTCCCTCTCATATCGATGGTAGTGGAGCGGGAACTGGGGGGTGGTGGGTACTGGAAGCCTCTCCCCGCTCTCACACCCACGATACTGGTGTGGAAGCTGAGGGGTGGTGGGTACTGGAAGCCTCTCCCCGCTCTCACACCCACGATACTGGTGTGGAAGCTGAGGGGTGGTGGGTCCTGGAAGCCTCTCCTCGCTCTCACACCCACGATACTGGTGTGGAAACTTGGGGGTGGTGGGTACTGGAAGCCTGTCCTCGCTCTCACACCCACGATACTGGTGTGGAAACTTGGGGGTGGTGGGTACTAGAAGCCTTTCCTCGCTCTCACACCCATGATACTGGTGTGAAAACTGAGGGGTGGTGGGTACTGGAAGCCTCTCGTCCCTCTCACACCCAAGATACTGGTGTGGAAACTGGGGGGTGGTGGGTACTGGCAGCTTTATTTCCCTCTGTGTCTCCCAGTACTGGTGAGAGAGCTTGGGTGTAGTGGTTGGTTGCATCACTGCCTCTCTTTCACACCCTCTACAAGACTCCCTCAGAGGTATAACATCGGGCTCCACATCGTTCTCAGTCTTTACCTGTAGGAGAGAGAGAAAGTAGATGTAGGTTTTTCCCCTGTAATAGACAGAAGGTGTGATAAGAAAAAAAATCTCTTCGTGTAGGCAAGCCGCAACAATAAATAGTAGTACTAGTAGTAGTAGTAGTGATAGTAGCAGACGTAATAGTGATAGTTGTAGTGTTTTGGGCCCAATACTAATCTATATTTAAGTGTTAGGCGCAGCAAAAAATATTATAAACAGTGGGAGTAATGGTACAAGCAGCATCAGCAGACACAGTAGCAGTATTAGCTGTAGTAGAGCAAGAATCACCAGCAGAGGAAGCAGATACAGTAGCATTGCAATGAGTAGCAGAAAAGGAGCAGCAACAGTAATAGCAGGAGTAACGGTTATAGGAGCAGCAGACACAGGAACGGTATCAACGGCAGCAGTAGGTGCAGCAGTAGCATCAGTAATAACAGCAGCAGCTGCTGCAACAGCAGTATTATCAGGAAAAAGGAGATAATCAATTACCAGAAGCAAACAATAGGAAACAAAGATAGTTTACTTGTGTGCTGAGCAACGGCACCAACAGAAGATTTATAATGGGATTTTATCAAAACAAAACCATTAGTCTTATCCAACTACTTAAATTTCAAATATTTTTCCTGCACATTAATTATAGTGGAAGGCTCTTCCTTTAATAATTCTCACTCACTGCTTTTTGTTATTGTGTGTCAGTGCGTGTAATGACTTTGTCTATTTCTCTCTCTCTCTCTCTCTCTCTCTCTCTCTCTCTCTCTCTCTATGTATCTATCTATCTCTTTCTTCACTCACCTGCAAAGCCCTTTCAGTGCATTTAGTATCGTGTTCTTTCGTCACTAGCGAAGTCGGAACGACAACACACACCGATGACTCTCTGGTTCCACACGACCCTTCCAACGTATCGTCGTGGCTGTCATCCAGTGGGGCTGGGTCGGAGTCTGACGATCTCCTCCTCCTCCTCCTGTAGGTCATAATCCCCAGCAGGAGCAGCAGGAGGATGGCCATCAGGAGGAGAAATCCGCAGCCCAAGACGAGGAGGAGTAGCGCAGTGGATGGACTTCGAGTCAGCATCTCCAAGAATGATTTGCTTTCAGACTCGAAGTCCTCGGTTCCTTCGGCAGCGTCTCCCGCGCCGATTACCGTTTGTCCTCCGTCGCGGACTTCCGCTTCCAAAGGACCGTCTGAAGAGGAGATGGAACTTAAATACAGAAGACACACACACACACACACACACACACACACACACACACACACACACACAATCAAAAACAAACTTTTATCAACACTACGTTTCACCCATATAAAGTTATATCAGACACTTGATAAAGCCTCACTTAGGAAAAACGTCGCACTAATAAAGGTCTCCTTTATTTTGTATGTGTTTTACACACTTGTTGGCTACGACATTCTTCAACTGCTACAATAGTCATATTAGCTTTACTGAAAGATAGCTCACATGACTCACTTTAAAGCTTATAGACATAACTGGCTTTAAACCTTACTGACCTATTTTCTTCTCTTTAAAACTAACAGACAGCTATAATAAAACTCAATAAAGATAACTAATTAAAGCTAATCAGCGTGACTTTCAGTAAAGCTGACAGATAAAAAAATATATGTGACTATCTTTAAAACTACTGAATGTGACTATTTTTTAGTAATATGATTATTTTTAATGACTATTTTTAATTTGGCTATTTTTAATTTGGCTATTTTTAGTATGGCTGTTTTAATGATTATTTTTGATGACTATTTTTAATAAGACTATTTTTAGTATGGCTGTTTTTAATACATTTATTACTTTAATAATGAGAGGCCGGAATAAAGTAAAGAAAGTGAGAAAGATAAAGACAGAAGCAGAACAAAACAGGTATTTGTAAAAATAAAATAAAGAAGGGAACCTAGAATAGTAAAGAAAATAAAGAACAACAATAAAATCGGAGGCAGAGTAAATAAAGAAAACAAGGGAAGAAGAACTAAAGAAGAAAGATGAAATATGGATAAAATAAAGATAGAAAATAGATAAAAATAGTAATCTGCACTCAAAAATTAATAGAGATAATAAAATATATATACATTATATATATATATATTATATATATATATATATATATATATATATATTATATATATATATATATATATATATATATATATATATATATATACATATATATATATATATATATATTTATATATATATATTTTATATATTATATATATATATATATACATATATATATATATATATATATATATATATATATATATATATATATATATATATATATATATATATATATATATATATATATATATCATTTAAGAATTGAGCCACTGACCATGGAGGTGGTGTCCATTACCACTGACCATGGAGGTGGTGTCTACTACCACTGACCATGGAGGTGGTGTCTACTACCACTGACCATGGAGGTGGTGTCTACTACCACTAACCATGGAGGTGGTGTCTACTACCACTGACCATGGAGGTGGTGTCTACTACCACTAACCATGGAGGTGGTGTCTACTACCACTAACCATGGAGGTGGTGTCTACTATCACTAACCATGGAGGTGGTGTCTACTACCACTAACCATGGAGGTGGTGTCTACTACCACTGACCACGGAGGTGGTGTCTACTACCACTAACCATGGAGGTGGTGTCTACTACCACTAACCATGGAGGTGGTGTCTACTACCACTAACCATGGAGGTGGTGTCTCCTACCACTAACCATGGAGGTTGTGTCTACTACCACTAACCATGGAGGTGGTGTCTACTACCACTGACCACGGAGGTGGTGTCTACTACCACTAACCATGGAGGTGGTGTCTACTACCACTGACCATGGAGGTGGTGTCTACTACCACTAACCATGGAGGTGGTGCCTACTACCACTAACCATGGAGGTGGTGTCTACTACCACTGACCATGGAGGTGGTGTCTACTACCACTAACCATGGAGGTGGTGTCTACTGCCACTAACCATGAAGCTGGTAGACTGAACCATTGGTGCCCAGGCTGGAGATGGTGAAACGTGTTTCGCTCCGTAAGCCCCTGTCGTTGACAGCTGTGATCACCACCTGGTACTTCCCCGCTTCCCTCAGTCCTTCCACCTGCGATATGAAGCGGTAAAACTCGTGAGTGCCTCATCTAGCCCATGGTGAAGGCTCGATCCTCCGTCCGCTAAACGCGAGACAGCCATATTTGAGACTGTCATAGCATCCGCTACTTCTCTTGTGGGTAGTCTAGTAGGAAAGGTCAGGGTCATGCTAGGCCAGCTTAGAAGAACCCAGATGAAGTTAGAAGCCAGGTCAAGTTACAGTGGAAGAGACCAGGTCATGTCAGCTTAGAAGGAAGGTCATGGCATTTTAGATAAGGTTAGAAGAACCCAGGTCAGGTGAAGTTAGAAGCCAAGTCAGTTTACAGTGGAAGAAACCAGGTCATGTCAGCTTAGAAGGAAGAAGGTCATGGCATTTTAGATAAGGTTAGAAGACACCAGGTCAGGTCATAACAGGGCAAGAAGATGAACTCTCCAGACTCTGCGGCTGAGACAAACTATCCGATGGAAAACTAGATTAATACACTTAATGTTGGGGAAATAATGGAACAGGTCAAGGAAGAGGGAGAGAGAACGGCTTGGAAAAGAAAGGCGGAGGGGGAGATGGAAGTGGGGGAACGGTAAATGAAAAGGAGAGTGGGAGAGGATGAGAGAGAGAGAGAGAGGAGAGAGGAGAGAGAGGAGAGGAGAGGGAGAGAGACGGAGAAGGAGGAAGAGAGAGAGGAAGAGAGAGAGGAGAGAGAAAGGGAGGGAGAGAGAAAGAGAGAGAAGGAGGAAAAGGGGCAGAGGAAGAGGAGGAGAAGGAGGAAGAGGGGCAGGGGAGAAGAGGAGAAGGAGGAAGAGGGGCAGGGGAAGAAGAGGAGAAGGAGGAAGAGGGGCAGGGGAAAGAGGAGGAGAAGGAGGAAGAGGGGCAGGGGACAAGGAACAGAAGGACAACGACAAAGACAACTAGAAGATAATAATGTCGGGTCATCAGGACAGCGAAGCCGCCAGACAGAAGGAAGACGGCAGTAATCCCTAAAGTTGTGTGTGTTAAATGACAGAGAAGAGACTTCAATTAAACTTATTAAATCATTGTAACCAATGAAAAAGAAATGGAAGGGGAGAAAGCTATTTTTATGTGATTCTTTCTACTCATTATACATATAAAAAATATAAAAGTGATGGAATCAAAAGTTTTCTAAATCGAGTTAGAATTAAAAAATACATCAGATTTTTTTTCTTGTTTACTGGTGGGAAAAATTAGGGTCTTGACGTTAGAATGGCTGCCTTTCCCTTCCTCGGATCAAACCTGATTATCTCCCATTCCCCAGAGGCTATATGTCGCTTACAATATTTACACTTCCCCATAATAATAATAATAATAATAATAATAATAATAATAATAATAATAATAATAATAATAATAATAATAATAATAATAATATTATTATTATTATTATTATTATTATTATTATTATTATTATTATATATAAAACCCATAATTACATCAGGGAAGAAGTATTAAATTGTTAATGTTTATAATTACTTAACACTAAGGACAGGAAAAAATAACTATTCCATTTGTGAATCGTTCCATTATTACAGGACAAGATAAGTTGTGTAGTCTTGGATTATCTTAAGTGTAGTCGTTTGTAATTACGTTCAGACACGGAGCTAATATCAGATACAGGAAATTCGTGTTGTCTAAGTCTTACAGGAAGCACTGTAACAAGTGTTACTTACGAAGAGAAGTAGGTCTTAGATACAGGTCTTAGAAAAGGTCTTAGAAACAGGTCTTAGATATAGATGTTAGACAGAGGTCTTAGCGATTGGAATTTCCCTATTTTCTCACTGTGGTTATTTTGCATATTATGATATCACCTGCTATGATCTCATTGAATCATGGGTCTTAAAAACAGGTCTTAGACATAGGTCTTAGAAATAGGCTTTAGTAAAAGGATAGATATTAATAAAAATAGGGAGAAAATGGGGCATTTCTCTGGTGGTATAGATTTCTTTGTTTTATGTGTCTATTACCGTCTGTCTGCTTAGGCCTACTGGCGCTTCTCGTGACTGGTTCTTATTAAAATAATATTGTGTGTACAAGCCTTTATACACAACACCCACACACACACACACACCACACACACACACACACACACACACACACACACACACACACACACACACACACACACACACACACACACACACAAATACAAGAAAACGTCTGTTCTGGGCGAAACGTTGTCCAATAGAAGCGGTTTGACACGTTTCCTGATATAGGTAAAAATCCATAATATGCACCCATATAACAAAATTAACGCTATATTCAGTAGAAATGCATATATTACCATAATTTTAAATCAATATTACTCTCTAAAACTGCATTTCAAGACGATAATTGAGTAAAAATCTTAATGCATCTGCGTATTTTGCCCAGTAACGTGGGGGAGCAGATTTTTGTAAATATATAAGTGTTACCAGAAAGCTCGGGAGAGAGAAGTCTTGAGCTGTGGCTGTGGTGAGGTTGATGTGGTGGTGCTGTGGACCGTCCAGAAGGCTGGCCCACAGCAGGAAGTGCTGGTTCAGGCCTCCGCTTACTCCTGCTACACATTTCAGCCTCACCCAGGTCTTCCCTCCTCCCCAGGCAGTGCAGTTAGTTGGGGACTCTGGCTTACCTGTGAGGGTGAAACATGGGCTTTGTGTGGGTCAGTCAACGCAAGGAGAGGTGAAGGCTCGATCTACCGTCATCGAATCTCGAAATAAACATGATGGACAACAGAAAGAGAGAAACAGATACAGGAAAGACCCTTCCCCCACAGGCTCTGCCTGAGAAGGATCAGCCGAAACTAATCTACCCTTCAAGAAGGAGAGGATGTGCCTGGGTGTTGCTGAAGGATTCTTGATCCAGGTAATTTGAACTACCCGTTCGAATTACCTAGGAGCTGTATAGCCCCTAAGGGTTTAGTCCTTCCCTCACGAATATAATAATAACAATAATGATGGAGACGGTAAAACTAATAATAATGATGATGATGATGATAATAATAATAATAATAATAATAATAATAATAATAATAATAATAATAATAATAATAATAATAATTTTATTGCAAATAATAATATTAATAACTATTTAAGTACTACCTCTAATAATGATAATAATAAAAAAATCAAAATTAATAATTTGAAGGATAGAGAATACTGTATAAATAATTGAGTTCTGGGGAACATGAGTAGTATTTTCCTGAACATGAGTAGTGTTTTAGTGAACATGACTTGCGATGTAGTGAACATGAGGAGCCGGGAGACTCACCAGCAGGAAGAATATGGAAAACACAAGGGTTCCTCTGGGTACCAATCTGATTGGTGGCCCAGCAGAGAAGCGTGCCGTAGTCCAGGGAGGTCATGGGCGTGTAGGTGATGATGCTGTGTTCACCTGACGAAGTGAACCTGCCGTGGGGGACGTCGATGGTGTCAGCCGTGTTGTTGAACCTCCACTGGAACGACTCATGTGCTGGGTTGGCGTCCACTGTACATCTTACTTCTGCGTCCTGGTAGCGGCTGACCACGTAGGTGCTGGGCTGACCAGCCCTGCACATAGGTGCGTCTGACACCACCACATAGGGGTTATTATTATTATTATTATTATTATTATTATTATTATTATTATTATTATTATTATTATTATTATTATTATTATTATTATTATAGTTATTATTATTCAAAAAAATTCATTTATTAATATTATAATAGGGTAGAGCGGTACAATTACACCCTTCAAGGACACACTGTATAAGCTACAACAGTCGAATAACACCTCCAGGAACACATTACTCGAACTACGAAAACACATTAACAACACCTCCCAGAACCCACATTTAACATCAAGAGTGAGAGTGTTGGATGTTGCGTCACCCACGGTGTTGTGAGCGTGACATGCGTAGCTCCCCGTCTGCGTCCTGTCCACCCGCTGTAACACCAGGCTCTGGTTGCTGACGATCACGCCCGCTGTAACGTTATGGACCAGCCTCACCTCCTGTAACACACCGGCAAACGCCTTCATCAGTCGATTCATTAGTCATGAAACTACAGATTTCTTAACTGGACAATTAATCCAAAGAGTTGGATCACCCATAATTGGATCAAACCTGATTTCCTCGCGGTTCCAAGGCGCTGTAAGGCCCCTATGGATTTTCCGCTCACTCATAAATATAATACAGATATTAGCTATCGTAAAAAATAGATATGTCTTCCAGGAAGCAATACCGATAATAGGGTATTACACCAGCCAGCCGTAATAAAGTGTTTTTTATCGATGAATGTGATTGGCTGATGGGAACCCTCTCACTGCTGCCTGAAATCTGCTTATAATAATAATAATAATAATAATAATAATCATAATAATAATAATAATAATAATAATAATATTAATAATAATATTAATAATAATAATAATAATAATAGTAATAATAATAACAATATTATTATTATTATTATCATTATTATTATTATTATTATTATTATTATTATTATTATTATTATTATTATTATTAATAGTAATAAAGCAAATGGTAGCAACGTAGTAGTAGCAGTAGTAGCATACTACTACTGCTACTACTACTATTACTACTACTACTACTACTACTACTACTACTACTACTACTACTACTACTACTACTACTACTACTACTATTATTACTACTACTACTACTTCTACTACTACTACTACTACTAATAATAATAGTAATAATAATGACAATAATAGTGATAATAACAGTGATAATAATAATAATAATAATAATAATAATAATAATAATAATAATAATAATAATAATAATAATAATAATAATAACTCACATCATGACTCCAGGAGACACGGGTGCTCCTGGGGTTAGCCTCAATGAAACACTCGAAGTATACATCATCTCCTTCCTTGATGTTGTTTGAGTCGAGAGACGCTCCGAAGCTGCAGGTGGCCTTAGGTCGATCTGTTGGAGGGCGAGGTAGAGGGTGTTACTGGGTGGTGGTTATGGCAGTGGTGGTGGTAAGTGGTGGCGGCAATGATGGTGGTAATGATTGTGGTAGTGGTGGTGGTGACTGGGGTGGTTGTGGTGGTTACGGGCTCATTGTCCGTTACGATTTCCTTTTTATAGTGTTAATTGAGAGTGAGTGAGATAGATTGATAGATAGATAGATAGATAGATAGAGAGAGAGAGAGAGAGAGAGAGACAGAGAGAGAGAGAGAGAGAGAGAGAGAGAGAGAGAGAGAGAGAGAGAGAGAGAGACAGACAGACAGACAGACAGACAGAGACCCTCGTGTATTTAATAACCTCTTTATTGACTCATTCAAAGACAATGCGTATGCCATGAGGTATACTGCATATCCTGAAACACACTGCGTGTCCTACCCCCAAAGGTAGAGTGCATGTCCTAAGGCATAGTGAATATCCCAAGGCACAGTGTATGTCTTATAAGCAGGCCGACATAGAGGAATGGGTTGACTGCTAATGTCACACAGCTGAGGCTGCGATAACTCACATCTGCAGAGATTAATAACCTGATAACTCACTAGTTAATGTGTGCTTACTCTCTGTGTAGATGTGTGAGGTAGTGGTGGAGGTGGTGCTGTTGGTGGTGTTGTTGGTGGTGCTGGTGGTGGTGATGGTGGTGGTGACAAGGTGATGATTCCTGGTAATGTTAACAAATATCAATAATATTAATGAACAATATGAAGACTACTCCAGGGTGAGTTGCTACTTCTTGCAGACGTAGTCTCTAACAATTGTGCATATGCAACACTGCACTGCTCGTTACCATGGCGAAGGTGAATCAAACAGAGGACAAGCATGCTGTTTAAATTGCAGCCCGGTGCAGCGGGCAATGTTGCTGTAATGGCGTCAATGAAATATGGGGCGCGAATGAGCAGGAGGGAAATGAGGAAGAGGAAGCAGATGAAAAGGACGTGGAGAAAGAGGAAGAGGAGAAGGAGGAGGAGGAGAAGGAGGAGGAGAAGGAGGAGGAGGAGGAGGAGGAGGAGGAGGAGGAGGAGGAGGAGACATGAGAGTACACGGGAATACAAGGGAAAGACAGATAGCCAAAGACTTCAATGTCCATACCCAGGCTACCAGGGCTATCGAGGATTTGCGTGTCACCTTCTTTGAGTGAGGTGTGGCCTCGGGATTTAACATGTAAAATCTGCTTCTCTTGCCTGATCTTCCTATTCCTCGGAAGATATGTGTAAGCACATGAAAGCGCTCAGGTTTTATTTCCTATTTTCACCTACAATGAGTAGGTGCGAAGCAAATTATTGTTCTTATTCACACGATATGTGACGATACAAGCAACACATACTAGAAGGAACCTTGTTATTTACCTGGAGTTTACCTGGAGAGAGTTCCGGGGGTCAACGCCCCGCGGCCCGGTCTGAGACCAGGCCTCCTGGTGGATCAGAGCCTGATCAACCAGGCTGTTGCTGCTGGCTGCACGCAAACCAACATACGAGCCACAGCCCGGCTGATCCGGAACTGACTTTAGGTGCTTGTCCAGTGCCAGCTTGAAGACTGCCAGGGGTCTGTTGGTAATCCCCCTTATGTGTGCTGGGAGGCAGTTGAACAGTCTCGGGCCCCTGACACTTATTGTATGGTCTCTTAACGTGCTAGTGACACCCCTGCTTTTCATTGGGGGGATGGTGCATCGTCTGCCAAGTCTTTTGCTTTCGTAGTGGGTGATTTTCGTGTGCAAGTTCGGTACTAGTCCCTCTAGGATTTTCCAGGTGTATATAATCATGTATCTCTCCCTCCTGCGTTCCAGGGAATACAGGTTTAGGAACCTCAAGCGCTCCCAATAATTGAGGTGTTTTATCTCCGTTATGCGCGCCGTGAAAGTTCTCTGTACATTTTCTAGGTCGGCAATTTCACCTGCCTTGAAAGGTGCTGTTAGTGTGCAGCAATATTCCAGCCTAGATAGAACAAGTGACCTGAAGAGTGTCATCATGGGCTTGGCCTCCCTAGTTTTGAAGGTTCTCATTATCCATCCTGTCATTTTTCTAGCAGATGCGATTGATACAATGTTATGGTTACACATCGCACAGAGAGACTACACAGGCTACTTTAAAAGCAACGACGGCGACGGTAAAGCTACAGAAAGCTACGCAAAAGAGTACGAAGCTACTTACAGTGAACAACTAGGGGCCAGGCGTCTTCTAAGATGGTTGGTGGTGTGCGCGTCTCAGCAACACAGCGAAGAACGGAGCCATGGTCTTGAGGTCGAGGCGTGAAGACAACACTGCTGGTGCTAATATTCTCTACTCCCGAGCTCTGAGGGAGAGGAGAGTTGTTAGTGCTGGAAAGGGAATGCATGAGAAATGAAGAGGAGAGGTATTAGTGCTGGAAAAAGAGAAGTCGTAGTTTAGAAGACACCTCTTCTCATGTTAATAAGCTCGCTGAGTACATATTTAAACACGTACCTTTTTTGTCATTTATGGACACGTACTCAAATATAATTCAGCAGGCAGTTGTTACATAGACAAGACAGCCTCTCGGGTGAGGTATTTAGTAATGCACTAAATAATTTTGGGCAGTCAGAAGCTCTATGGTCTATTAAAATTTGCAAATATTTCAAAAACCATTAAAAATACACACACGCACACACACACACACACTCTCTCTCTCTCTCTCTCTCTCTCTCTCTCTAGCAACCATCACCACCACAAGACAGGCAACCTTCCCTGTTTGCCCAAGGCAATTCTGTAATAGTTCTGATCGTTCAAGAAAAAGTTTTGACAAGGGCAATCAGTTGGTTTCTTATTGAAACCAGTAAGCTGGAAACCCAGTCATCAATAAATGGACTGGAAACCTCGACCTCCGGCAAGACATGAACTGGAAGACTAAACCACCAGTAACTGGTCTGGATGACTGTGCCACCAGTAACTGGATTGGAAGACTGTACCACCAGTAACTGGACTGGAAGACTGTACCACCAGTAACTGGACTAGAAGACTGTACCACCAGTAACTGGACTGGAAGACTGAACCATCAGTAACTGAACTGGAAGACTGTACCACCAGTAACTGGACTGGAAGACTTTACCACCAGTAACTGAACTGGAAGACTATACCACCAGTAACTGGACTGGAAGACTGTACCACCAGTAACTGGACTGGAAGACTATACCACCAGTAACTGGACTGGAAAACTAAATTACCAGTAACCGGACTTGAAGACTGAATTCCAGTTATTTCGACAGGAATACAACAACCACCGATATTTTGACTGGAAGATTTAACCACCTAAACATCTATTCTTCTTCTTCTTCTTCTTCTTCTTCTTCTTCTTCTTCTTCTTCTTCTTCTTCTTCTTCTTCTTCTTCTTCTTCTTCTTCTTCTTCTTCTTCTTCTTCTTCTTCTTGTCTAATTACCTTCCATCTTTCCCAGGCATAATAAGACCCTTACAGCATTAGGGCTTCCTCATTATAATAATAATAATAATAATAATAATAATAATAATAATAATAATAATAATAATAATAATAAACATATAATAATAATAAGCACAGGTATCGTCCGTGAATGTTAACAAATGTAACAAGTTATATTATTTTTCCATTCCTGTGCTAAGTACAGTACAACGTGTCCACATTCACTTTCTCTTTTACGCAGTTATTATTCGTACTTGTAAAGCTAACGTCCGTGATGGACATTTTTCTTTGTCCTTAACAGTAACAGGTCGTGTCGGAAGCAAAGTACCGACCGTGGAAGTAGCAAATAAACAAGAATTTGAAAGACCTTTAGCCCGTGGAAAAGGTTTCTTCAACCCAGTCATGTTGAAATGTTTTAGGAAAGTTGCTCCCTCCTCCTCCCTCTCTCTCTCTCTCTCTCTCTCTCTCTCTCTCTCTCTCTCTCTCTCTCTTCTCTTTCTCTCTCTCTTTCTCTCTCTTTACGTCACTTATCCACAAGAACCGTAACGAGTACTGACCGCGTCGGGAACCTGGATGAGTCGTTGGTAGCCGCTCCACCAGGTGATGGTTGGCGGGGGTCGTGCACCGACGACCACACAGGTTACCTCATACGTTTCGCTCTCCCTCAGCGGCTGGTCACCAGGTCGTCGTATCTGGACACTTACTGGCGGTACTATAAACAGAAACGAAAAAAAAAAAAAAAACAGAACTATGTCATATAATCAACTAGAATATTCTAAATATACATTCAGATTTGGAATATATACTTATATATAATCTAGATTTAGTATACACACGTATGGCTAATCTAGAATTAGAATATATAGTGTATGTATAATTAGGACAACCACAGAATTCAGAATTAGAATCTAGAATTAGACCATACATAGGGGAAATTTAGAAATAGAGTATATATAGGCTGAATTTAATGTTAAGGGGAGCTACAGACTCGAAAAAAAAATCAGCTGGAGATTTGTGTTTTGGAGTCTAAAGGATTTTTTTTTGTGTTATATATGATTTGCCTGGAAATTTATCCTCAGTCATTTATAGATTGAACATTATGTTAGTACTGAACATTGCATAGATATTGAACATTGCATTGGTATTCAGCATAACTTTTTTAATGTTGCAAGTGACGCTTGCTGTTATTGTTGCTATTGATATTATCGTTGTTGCTATCACTTGTGTTATTTTTGCTGTTGTTTTTGTTGTTAGTGGTATTGTTGTTGTTTTTATTGTTATTGAAATTATTGTTGTTGCTGTTCTTGTTGTAGTTGCCGTCGTCACTGTGTTTGTTACTCAAGCAAAATAATCTCACTTGCCTATAGGCAGATTTTTTTTTAAAAGTATTTAGTTATCATTTTTTTGTTAATTAAAGAATATAAACTTGAGTAAATTACAAGAATTTTTTTCCTATCGGTCTGGGCATTAATAACTTTTTCCTCTTAACTTGATAATAAACTACCAATTATAGTACCCCAGGCGCCTCCAGTCAACAGTGTCATTTCACAGTCATTAAAACAGTCAGTTAAACCCCTGTCAGCAACCAGCAGTTATATTCCACTGTTAACAAAAGATGATATTTGGCATTCTGGTGAAAACTTGGGGAGATTTTTTAATAATTACCGGAGGGGAAGAGGACAACTAAATTCTTGGAATTTTACTCCGCACGAACTGCGAGTGATTTGTGTTATCAGATAGATCCAGGAGATTAAGGGAAAGAAACACTGTGTGAGAAACATCAGAGTGGTGTGGGCGAGAAAGATTTCGTTCCAGGAACGTCTCAATGGAGATGAGTGTTGTGAGAGAGAAAGATTTCGTTCCAGGAACGTATCAAGGGAGATGAGTGTTGTGAGAGAGAAAGATTTCGTTCCAGGAACGTATCAAGGGAAAGGAGTGTTGTGTGTGAGAGAGAGAGAGAGAGAGAAAGGCACTCAAGATCATTAAGATCAACAAGACATAACCGAAAAAAGAACCTGTCTGAAGTAAAAAAAAAAAAAATACACTCTTCTCAGGAGCGTTCTGAAAATATAGACTGCAACGGATCGAATCCTTCCCCGTAGATGACACTGAAACTGCTTCTGTCCCATAGACAGGACTCACTGCCATCTGTATTCCCTCCTCCTCGTCTCTCACAAGATGAAACTGATATACCAGTGAACTTACAGATACGGAACTAGATCCCCTTTGAGTCTTTCAGCACTAGGAATATAGAAGGTTCGATCCTCCTTCTTCTAATCTCGTCCCTGCCTCTGCCAGGTGAAACTGGTGATGATTGAGCCTGGGTAATATGTTGGTGTAATGCGATTTTCATTATTACTGATCGTTCTTTTAGCTTCTGGACTTTTAAATGTAACATTAAAATAATAGTAACAACAACAACAACAACAACAACAACAACAACAACAACAACAACAACAACAACAACAACAACAATAATAATAATAATAATAATAATAATAATAATAATAATAATAAAATAATAATAATAATGATAATAATAAATAATAATTACTTATATTATTGGTGTTGTTAATTATGGAGGTTCAGGCCTGAAATGAGGAAGGAAAAGGAAGCTCAGATTCCTTGGATCAAGATCCCTTTATTACCATCATCCCCCCCCCACCATTCACTTAAAGGAATAAGGGTTGGAGAAAAGAACATGCAAAGAAGGTTCATGTCAAGACTAGAGTGGTAAGAGTTCATGTCAAGAACAGAGTACTGACAGTTTCCAAAACAGAGTACACTAACAATTCATGTCAAGAATAAAGGGTGACGGTTTACGTTCTGAGCAGAGTACTCACGGTTCATGTCTAGGGTGACGACTGCTGTAACTGGCTTAGTCAGGTTCGTGTTGGAAGCTTCGCAAGTCAGTTCGAGGAGGAGGTGACTGCGGTTGAGGGGCCCCAGTATGAGGGTATTGAACGGGTTCCCTCCAAAGACCGGTGGTCCCAAAGTGACGGTATTGAAGGCATCACCTACAGAAGCCGAAGGAGACATCGAAGAACCCAGATTATGAGTCCCATAAGACTGTCTTCTGATTTCCGACATAGGTCTTTGAGGTCCCTGTATAAGCTTGCCGCGTGGTCTTCTTTGTCCTTGCATCGATGCTGAGTGGTCCAGACTGCTGACAGACTCTCTTCCATGGGTAAGAAATATGGGCTTTCCTCTTAAATTTGGCAGCGCAGCAAGGGGCAGGGGCCGTAACGGAAGCAGTTCGTGAGGATGTTGTCCTCCCAAGAGCATCGAAGGCATCATTAATGGTTTCGGGGATGAGGCTGGTTGACTCATCCCATGGGAAACTCTCTCGAAATTTCCAGCAGATTCAGATTCCATGATGGCATCCAGGAGACGAGCACCCTCATACCACAACACAGAGGGTCGAGGTTTACCTGCAGGGAGAATGCATCAGATGCTGTATAACTTAATATTATGCTCACTAATAACCCACATGAAGACAGAAACCCATGAGATTAATTGATCTGCATATGTCGACCCTCTTCTCGGATCCTCTTCACATCTGTTGAAGAGGGTTCCAGAAGGGGGGTCGAAATATACAGATCAATTATTCTCCTGAGTTTCTGTCTTCATGTGGGTCGTTATTGAGTACTAACAAGTATTCAATATACTTTAATTAAAGGTTATATATAAAACAACAAGGTTATAACATGAAATATGTGAACCTTTCCTTCATGGCATCGTGTTTCACGAACAGTGTGGGTCATGCAACGGAAGGATTAACGGAGGCTCGCTTCTCCGTTTAGATTTGATCTCTGTCCAAGGCAGGCTGCTTTCCTGTATAATGGAGATGAAATGCTCTAATTCCCTTTAACAACTGTACAATCCGACCCATTTTAATGCTCAGTTTTATTTGTGTTCTGAAAATGACGACCATTATAGAACTACCACGAACTCGATATTTCAACATGTTCATGTTATGTGATGAAATAATAATTAATAATAATAATAATAATAATAATAATAATAATAATAATAATAATTATTATTATTATTATTATTATTATTATTATTATTATTATTATTATCATTATTATTATTATTATATTATATTATTATTATTATTATTATTATTATTATTATTATTATTATATTATTATTATTATTATTATTATTATTATTGCGCTAGTAGAAACATTTATACATAAAAAGTAGATTATTGTCTTCTTGACGCTGTTAGCTTGACAAAGCTCCTGGTGGGCGAAACGTTGCTTCAATAAAATGTCCTATTACTTGCATCTGCGCCCACTTAACTAACGTAATATATTTTCATTATCCTGAGAAAATTCCTAGAGGTTATTTGCCATTTTTAGTCGGGAAAATTGTGAGATAAATTATTTAAGAAAAAAAAAGGAATCCTTCCAATCCGAGGTAATTTACGTAATGATGATAAGTGATGAAGATGAGTGACGGTGTGAAGGTGATTTGTGGTGTGAAGATGACTGATGGTGTGTCTTGAGGGTTGCCAACGTTCGGATCAATTACCCGAATTATATTAGGCTGGATTTTTTTTGGCCGGGGGGGGGGGCGTGTTAAGAGAAATAATTTTGGTGTGGCTTAAAGAGTGGCTGTCTCCTGGACTCTACAGAGTGGCTGTCTCCTGGACTCTACAGAGTGGCTGTCTCCTGGACTCTACAGAGTGGCTGTCTCCTGGACTCTACAGAGTGGTTGCCTCTTGGACTCTACAGAGTGGTTGCCTCCTGGCCTATCTCTATTGTCTTTATTTTGTTAGTAAAGCTGATTTTTTTTACTTTTGCAACATTTTGGAGTAATGTTGCACGCTAGCAGAGTAATGTTGCACGCTAGCAGAGTAATGTTGCACGCTAGCAGAGTAATGTTGCACGCTAGAAGAGTAATGTTGCACGCTAGCAGAGTAACGTTGCACGCTAGTAGAGTAATGTTGCACGCTAGCAGAGTAATGTTGCACGCTAGCAGAGTAATGTTGCACGCTAGCAGAGTAATGTTGCACGCTAGCAGAGTAATGTTGCACGCTAGCAGAGTAATGTTGCACGCTAGCAGAGTAATGTTGCACGCTAGTAGAGTAATGTTGCACGCTAGCAAAGTAATGTTGCACGCTAGCAGAGTAATGTTGCACGCTAGCAGAGTAATGTTCCCACGCTAGTAGAGTAATGTTGCACGCTAGCAGAGTAATGTTGCACGCTAGTAAAAGTAATGTTGCACGGAGTAAAGTAATGTTGCACGCTAGCAGAGTAATGTTGCACACTAGCAGAGTAATGTTGCACGCTAGCAGAGTAATGTTGCACGCTAGCAGAGTAATGTTGCACGCTAGCAGAGTAATGTTGCACGCTAGCAGAGTAATGTTGCACGCTAGCAGAGTAATGTTGCACGCAAGTAGAGTAATGTTGCGCACGCTAGCAGAGTAATGTTGCACGCTAGCAGAGTAATGTTGCACGCTAGTAGAGTAATGTTGCACGCTAGAGTAATGTTGCACGCTAGTAGAGTAATGTTGCACGCTAGCAGAGTAATGTTGCACGCTAGTAGAGTAATGTTGCACGCTAAGCAAGAGTAATGTTGCACGCTAGCAGAGTAATGTTGCACGCTAGCAGAGTAATGTTGCACGCTAGTAGAGTAATGTTGCACGCTAGCAGAGTAATGTTGCACGCTAGTAGAGTAATGTTGCACGCGAGTAAAGTAATGTTGCACGCTAGCAGAGTAATGTTGCACACTAGCAGAGTAATGTTGCACGCTAGCAGAGTAATGTTGCACGCTAGCAGAGTAATTTTGGGCACGCTAGTAGAGTAATGTTGCCACGCTAGCAGAGTAATGTTGCACGCTAGCAAGTATGTTGCACGCAGCAGAGTAATGTTGCACGCTAGCAGAGTAATGTTGCACGCTAGCAGAGTAATGTTGCACGCAAGTAGAGTAATGTTGCGCACGCTAGCAGAGTAATGTTGCACGCTAGCAGAGTAATGTTGCACGCTAGTAGAGTAATGTTGCACGCTAGAGTAATGTTGCACGCTAGTAGAGTAATGTTGCACGCTAGCAGAGTAATGTTGCACGCTAGCAGAGTAATGTTGCACGCTAGTAGAGTAATGTTGCGCACGCTAGACAGAGTAATGTTCCCACGCTAGCAGAGTAATGTTGCACGCTAGTAGAGTAATGTTGCACGCTAAGTAATTTGCCTAGCAGGTAATGTTGCATGCTAGAAGAGTAATGTTGCACGCTAGCAGAGTAATGTTGCACGCTAGTAGAGTAATGGTGCACGCTAGCAGAGTAATGTTGCACGCTAGCAGAGTAATGTTGCACGCCAGCAGAGTAATGTTGCACGCTAGTAGAGTAATGTTGCACGCTAGCAGAGTAATGTTGCACGCTAGCAGAGAAAATGTTGCACGCTACAGAGTAATGTTGCACGCTAGCAGAGTAATGTTGCGCGCTAGCAGAGTAATTTTTGCACGCTAGCAGAGTAATGTTGCACGCTAGAGTAATTTCACGCTAGTAGAGTAATGTTGCACGCTAGCAGAGTAATGTTGCACGCTAGCAGAGTAATGTTGCACGCTAGCAGAGTAATGTTGCACGCTAGCAGAGTAATGTTGCACGCTAGTAAAGTCAGGAATTTAGGATGTTGCACAAGTCAGTAAAAAGTTTTCTGGTTATCTCTTTCATTCCACTTCTCTCGCTCAATTTACTTCTTCATTTTCCCCTCCCCCGTCTATCCTTTTTATTCTCCTCCCTTCCCTCTCTCTCTCTCTCTCTCTCTCTCTCTCTCTATCTATCTATCTATCTCTGTTCCTTACCCTCCCGTTCTTCTGTCTGTATTATTTTATGTCTCTATTGCTCGCGCGCGCCACACACCACACACATACACATACACATACACACACAACACATACACATACACACACACACACACACACACACAAAACACACACACACACATACACATACACATACACACACATACATACACATACACACACACACACATACACATACACATAACACACACACACATACACATACACTACACACACATCACATACCATACACACACACACACATTACACACACACACACACAAAACACACACACACACACACACACACACACACATACACACACACACACACACACACACACACACCCCACACACACACACACACACACACAAACATCTTCCAACTGAACCTACGATAAAAATCTTTAATCCGTGAATGAATTAAAAGATTTTAACTTCAATAATACCGAGGAAACATTCTGACGCTCATAACTATCAAAACAAAAAAAATGGAAATGAAACCAGAAGAATCTATTTCCTAGAGATGAAATTTAGAGATATTTAGAACTTTTAAAAAAACATATTACCTCCTTAGACTCAAAACTTAGATATAATTACGTCATAAAAATATTATTTCCAAAATTAGTAAATTCATGAGGAAATTTACATAGCTAAAAATGTTTATTAATCCAGAACTTGATCGTTTCTAATTGGGGTAAAAATATTAATTCTGGACCATTACACATGAGAATTCATGAAGGGAATTTATTTCTGTGAAGTTAACTGTAATCCCGGAGTTATTCTAAACAATTGTTAATTGTGTTTTCACTTTTAAGTGGGAATCTGAAGAGATGAATTGTGAGTTTGTGGGTTAGTGGGAGTGTCTCGTGGCTTGTTTGTGAGTTTGTGGGTTAGTGGGAGTGTCTCGTGGCTTGTTTGTGAGTTTGTGGGTTAGTGGGAGTGTCTCGTGGCTTGTTTGTGAGTTTGTGGGTTAGTGGGAGTGTCTCGTGGCTTGTTTGTGAGTTTGTGGGTTAGTGGGAGTGTCTCGTGCCTTGTGTGAGTTTGTGGGTTAGTGGGAGTGTCTCGTGGATTGTTTGTGAGTTTGTGGGTTAGTGGGAGTGTCTCGTGGCTTGTTTGTGAGTTTGTGGGTTAGTGGGAGTGTCTCGTGGCTTGTTGGAGTTTGTGGGTTAGTGGAGTGTCTGTGGTTGTTTGTGAGTTTGTGGTTAGTGGGAGTGTCTCGTGGCTTGTTTGTGAGTTTGTGGGTTAGTGGGAGTGTCTCGTGGCCTTTGTGAGTTTGTGGGTTAGTGGGAGTGTCTCGTGGATTGTTTGTGAGTTTGTGGGTTACTGGAGTGTCTCGTGGCTTGTTTGTGAGTTTGTGGGTTAGTAGGGAGTGTCTCGTGGCTTGTTTGTGAGTTTGTGGGTTAGTGGGAGTGTCTCGTGGCTTGTTTGTGAGTTTGTGGTTAGTGGGAGTGTCTCATGGCTTGTTTGTGAGTTTGTGGGTTAGTGGGAGTGTCTCGTGGCTTGTTTGTGAGTTTGTGGGTTAGTGGGAGTGTCTCGTGGCTTGTTTGTGAGTTTGTGGGTTAGTGGGAGTGTCTCGTGGCTTGTTGTGAGATTGTGGGTTAGTGGGAGTGTCTCGTG